TATATCCAGTATCGGACAAAACGCATATTTTTGTAAATATGCGATAAAATTTCAAAATATGTGATTGATTTAAGGTTATGTTAGAAAAAGTTAATTATTTTATTAAAGTGCAATGTTTGCTGTAACTTAAGGAAACTGGTCAGTCAATAGCTGTATGTGTAACAGTAAATTATTTTCAGTAAATAAATATACTTTACTAATTTTTGCTAATTGTGTTGCTTAACAACTTTTCCCATATCAAAAATTTTAATGCTAAAAGTACTGAAATCACAAAATAAACGTTTTAAGAAAATCTACTTTGATCAGACATACAACACTTCAAAATTCAGATTTAGAATGGCTGAGCAAAGTATATTTTCTATAAACATTTAGTTTGTGACTTAGGTATTTCTAGTACTAAGCTCTTTAATTGAAACATATAATACACATCCTTATGTGTTTAATTTTTTTTTTCCTTTTCCGTTCCCGTTAATAAAAAGATGAGTGAAACCTCATCTTAATAAAAGTCTATGAGCAAAAGGAAATGGTAGATGAGTCAAAAAATGTCGAAAATGATTTATCCACTAAATTCGAATAATATATATATATATATATATATATATATATATATATATATATATATATATATATATATATATATATATATATATATATACATATATATATATATATATATATATATATATATATATATATATATATATGTATATATATATATATATATATATATATATATACATATATATATATATATATATATATATATATATGTATATATATATATATATATATATATATATATATATATATATATATATATATATATATATATATATATATATATATATATATATATACATATATATATATATATATATATATATATAAAAGTAAACCATTAATATTATTTTCATTTCATATAGCATAAGTAAACCATTAATATTATTTTCATTTTAGAACAGTATACTTTCTATTAAATTTAAATCAGCCATAATTTACCCAGGGTATCATCAATAATTATTCCGGTCGCAAAATTATCGTCAATAGGTTTACTGATCATATTTATACCAAATTTACTTTTAAGTGTATCCCGATGATTCCTACAGTCTAATCTGATGTTAAATTGGCTTATGAAGTCATAAAAAAAGTAAAAGGCAAAGGAAAGGTACAACTCTATACTTAGATAAGTGGCAAGATTTTCCTTTGACTCAAAATACGTTAGAATTAGAAAAAAACATCTTTGATAAACAATTAGGGCAAAAAAATTTAGAGAAGACAAAAAAAAATTTGCAATAATAATAGTATTATTGATTAGACAAAAAATTAAAAAGCAGACCAGACTTTAACCAATTTTCTATATAAACTTTTATATATTTTATATATATTTTATGTATATTTTATATATATTTTGTATATATTTTATATATATTTTATATATATTTTATATATATTTTATATATATTTTATATATATTTTATATATATATTTTATATGAATCTTATATATTTTATATATAGACTTTTACCAGTTTTCCATATAATCAGATTACGGAATACAATGATTCTCATTATTTTCTCATGCTTACTCGTCTTACCTACATTTACCACAGGGTTATTTATCGGTGAAGTCTATGTCTTTACAAAGAGGCAGCCTTTCGAAATTTATCAACTACCTTATATATCATTTGTGCACATAATATGCACCCTTTAAATGACTCTGTAAAGACATTCGTAGCAGATGTTTACGCCTACCGACCATAAACAACGACAATAATCTGATATCATTGCTATGCCGAGAAGGTCACCCTCACATGTCAATTAAACCTCCCTAACCAAAAGCCGAAAAACACAGATTCGGAAAAAGTAGCTGTAACACAATTTCTCTCAGCTATGATCAACAAAATTTCTCCATATGGAGCACTGCAAGTGGGTGGCCCTAACGCACGGAGAACGGAAACTTTAGATAAATTTTATTGCTTATGGTTGCGCACAAAAACAACGGATTATATGCACTTCAATATGAGAATATACAAAGGACAATATGAGAATCTACAATATGAGAATATACAAAATTTATCGTGCGACTAGTAACGATAAAACAATATGTCACATTATATTATATCATGCGTCGATGGGCACCTAATAAAAGGCCAGAATCAGTAATTGTCTAAGAGTCCATTAAACATGACGAAGAAGTCATGAAAAGGATAGGTACATACCCTATAAAGCAGATTGGAGACTTTATCTTAATCAGGAACCTAAAAGTCATAGTGCATTACAGCTATCAGAACAAAAGGACAACTTGCTTTCTCAGGATAACGGCATGATCCTAAAAAATCCCACGTTCCCAGAAGATATATTTTAGCAAGAAAAGTCTGCTGTAACTAAGTTTTTGCAGATAATAGGAAATGATTAAGCTAAGGCTATTTTGGAAGCACATGTTACCGTCGCCCTCATGACTCAGATAATGGGTATGATTAGTGTCTGGGAGCAAATATCACTTATATTTTGAAAGTAAGTGATAGGAACTTAATAAGGATCAGCCCTCAAGTCCCTTATAATCTCAGACCTAAGCACACCTACCTTCGAAATCCAAAACTAAACCCCATGTACGGTATAAAAGCCTTCGGACGAGTTAAAAATGTTGGGAACCATCTAGATAACGTTCTACCCTCAAAGACTAAACCAACTCCCCGCATTCGAGACTATAGTAAAGACATTTTAGTTGATAAACCACATCGCCGTTCACAGTTTACGTTACTAGAACTGATATCGGGTTCACATGAAACGTTAGAAACACTCAAAACCATTAATAATACAAATAAGGAGAAGATATATTGACAGGCATTAGTACGGCCTTAGGCAGTGCCCAACAAGTCGCAGCAAGCGGAGGGAGTCAAATAATTAAAGCCATCAGAGGAGTCATTAAGGACTCACTAAGTGGTGTTTTCAATTTAAACAAATGTTGCTTCATCTTCAGTATTAACAGTCACTAGAGGAGCTGTAAAAGATGTTGGAGAAGGCGCAGGGTCCTTTTTCCATAACTTCTGGGTGGTATTAGTGGATCTATTTTGTGGGTAGCAGTACTTTTCAAAGTAATATATTTAATCTTGAACAAACCCAATTGAAATTATGCCTTGCTTTGTCTAAAACGGTTTCAAAAATACTTGGAAAATGATGATATGGTATAGCTACGACAAGATTACGTCAATGTCCCCAAAAGAAAAAAGACATCCGCGGATGTGTGTACCTGTCCAGCTAGTTTTTCCAGCAAAATTTAGTTTTCATTCATCATAATTTCAACTAGTATTAAACTAGTTTCAAATAAAATCATTTTGTGCTTAGTAGAGTCTGATATATATATATTATTTATTATTTGATTAACCTGCTTATTGTATTTTTAAAGTTATATTTAGTAATATAATCTAAGTCTAACGCAATTATATTTATGATTTAGTATTCTGCCGAATAGTTTGCAATATTCGGCAGAATACCAAATAAAATAAAACATTGCTGAATACACCGAATACCAAATAGTTGCCGAATATTCGTGGCATCTCTATAAAATACTATAGTTTTTTTTCCTAAAATATGCCTCTTTGAATAAAAAATGAAGATTTACATATATCTCATTATAAAGCAAAAAATATGCTATTTTAGTTTTTTTAAATCTATTCGGACCATGGAGAATAGGAAAAATTCAAACGGTAATTTTTTTTTTGCGATATGCTCCTTTTTTTTTTTTTTTTTTTTTTTTTTTTTGTTCTTATTACAATTTTATTTGGTATAATATCGCTTTACATAAAATAAAAAGAACACGGAAACTCGAAGAGGATGGCAAGATCCTGTCACCGAGAACCGTTTAACAAAGCGATACAAAATAAATAAAAACAAAAAACCGATATTTACAATACAAGATTTTTAATAAGCCAAAACCAAACATAAAATACCGTTAAAAAATGTCAAAATATGTAATAAAACTAAATATTTAAATAAAATATTCAAAAAAACTCAAAGATGTTATCAATTGTTAAGTTTTTTCAGTTTATTTTTAAAAGTAAGAAAACTACATTACAAAAACTGTACTACTGAACATAATACACTTTTAAAGAATTTTTTTGTGTAATTTTAGAAACATGTTATATGTTCAAAGGTCTTGGAGACCTCTAAAAAAAAATTTAGTTCAAACATTTTTTTAAACCAGCGTTTTTTATTATATAGAACACACTAAGGTAATGGCAGCATATACTTTTGAAAAATGTTAATTTTTAGGTCACCCTATTCTTGTATCTTTACATATGTATAAATAAATAAATAAATATATATATATATATATATATATATATATATATATATATATATATATATACGTATATATATATATATATATATATATATATATATATATATATATATATATATATATATATATATATATATATATATATATATATATATATATATATATACAGTACCGAACTTATTTAACTGGGCCAGCTGATTCTCATACAAAGTTATGACTTTCAGTCCATATTGTTTGATTAATTGACTTTTGGAAGTTAGGCAAACTTTTTGAAAAGTGATAATAATAACATTGAAGTTGATTTGAAAAATTAAATAAATATTTCTAAGAGGTTAGTAGATATTTAATAGTATTATTTGTGTACTTGGTGTAAAATTTAGTAAATTTATGATTTTCATGTGTTTGAATAATATGAAATAAAAGGAAATTATGTTATTGTTACATTAATTTGAGTGATAATACAAGTTATCCAAATATGCATACAGGTAGTTTCATCCGAAAAAGTTAAAAAAACATTAAATATTCATTATTTATTTTTATTTTTTGGTATTTTATAAGAAAAAATAAGATAAATTGAAACAAAATAATTTAAAACTAAATTTAAAGTCAGCAATGCTTCCAATATGTAATATTGTGTCAAATAAAGCAGAATTTGTATAAAAGTTAAGTTAAAATGGTATATTTTATCTTTTTAGAGAATGACTGGAGCTAAGAGGTTAAGTATGGAGACGCGGATTAGGGTAGTCTTGCTGGCCGAGCAAGGTCATTCGCATCGCCAGATCGCTACAGACCTGAAAATCAATCGCAAAACCGTTGATTCATTGGTAATAAAGCATAAGAATACCGGCAGTGTTGGGGATTTAGCTGGAAGAGGGAGGAAACGAGCTACCACTGAGCGAGAGGACAGGCAGCTCATCCGCATGTCAAAGCGTAACCGATGGTTGACTTCGCCGGAGCTGAAAAAGGCATGGAACGAGAACTACGGAGTTGACGTAACCAGCCATACTGTGCGTAAGAGACTGCGGGCAGCTAATCTGCGTGGTTGTGTAGCAGCAAAGAAACCACTTCTGTCCGAGAAGAATTGTCGCAGCTGATTGGAATGGGCGAAAGCTCATAAGGATTGGACGGCCGATGACTGGAGCAGAGTGTTATGGTCAGACAAAAGCCCGTGACGAAATTTCTAATGAAACAACAGAAGGTACAAAACTTTGTTATATTGAGCATTTATTCTAGAAACAAAATTTAACTTATTTTTTAGATATAGGCAATGATAAATTAAAAGTAAAAAGTAAAGAACCAGTCAAAAATGGAAGAGACACAATTTATAAAAGGTAAGATAACAACATCTGCTAAACTTACTTAACTTGATTTCGATTGTTGTTTTTATTTAGATTATGAAAAAGAAAAAAGCAACGACTTTTATAAGACATGCAATGGAAAAAATTCTTGAACCACAATTTTGGCAATAGCTCTTTGGAAAAAGGCTATATATATAATAAATATATATATATTATAAATATATATATATATATATATATATATATATATATATATTTAATAGGCTATATATATTTAAAAGGCTATTTAAAAGGCTATTTAATAGCCTATATTTAAAATTATATATTTAATTATATATTTAATTAATTATATATTTAATTTTATAATTTTTTATATTTTTTAATTTTTTAATATTTTTTCATTTTTTATATTTTATATTTTTTAATTTAATAATAAATAAAAAAATTATATATTTAATTATATATTTAAAAGGCTATTTAATAGGCTATATATATTTAAAAGGCTATTTAAAAGGCTATATATATAATAAATAAAAGGCTATATATAAGGCTATATATATAATAAAGACAGGTGACATATACCTGGAAAGTAGGTTGTATACAAATTTAAGCATATTAGACATAAATGTTTTTAAATGAAATTTTGAAATCTGTTTTCTATATAGTGCGGAGACATGCACAACTCACAAAACCTAAAAGCTCAGGTTTTATATATTTTGTTTTCAGATATCTTAATAATTATGTCATTAAAAAATTGTTAAATTTGCTTCATTTTTATTTAATTTGAACTTTTATTTAATTTAAACTAAAAAAGTTGCACTTGTTTTGTTCGTTGCAAAATGGCACTTGTCAAAGAAATTCTGCCTCTGTTCTGTCACCTGTCAGTTGATTGCTCATGTCATGGCATGCTATGACACCGGACTTATGAACTGTTTGCTGTGGTAGTGTAGTTCGTTTCGTTTTTGAGACATGTTAAACTAGGAGCTCCTTTTTGCATTGTTCGATGCAAAATGGCTGCAAATGTTTTGTCCAATACTGTATAAAACTGATCTTTTTTGTATAGATGTTTTAGTGGTCTAAGATCTCGTTGGTTCCAATTCTATAACATTACGTTCAAATGTCTGAAATTGTTTTAAGCATATATTGAGTTTTATGGAATAATCATGTATAATATATTGAGTTTTGTGGAATATATTTATATATTGAGTTTTGTGGAATAATCGTGTATAATATATTTATAGAATGAGAAACATTAAAGTTTTAAGATTTATAATTTGGAATTTTTTTTATCTAATTTATTATTTTGCTATGGATATATAAACAATATTAAAAAAAATTTTAAAATTTATTACACAAAGGGGAGGTTTTGAACCCTCACCCCCCCTCCCAGCCAGAGATGTTAACAAGCCCAAAAGTGGGAAAGCCAAAGTCACACGTTACAAGGCCAAGGCCAAGACTACGACACGGCTGTTTTACTCAATATAAAAGCGAGCTTGACGTCACAAGAATTTTTGTGTTTTAAAAAAAGAGAATTTTCGCATAAAAAGTATAAAAATTCACAAACTTTAATTTATAGTATTTTTTTTTCTATTAACGCTTTAATCTTTCCTTCATTCTATTAACGCTTTAATCTTTCCTTCATGCCCATGAAAATCAAATCTTTAATCTTTGAATTAAAAAAAATATAAAAGAACTATCTTTCTTCGTTAAATAAATATTTACATGAAGCAAAATAAAAATAAACATTGTTAAAATATTTTAAATGATTTTGGATCACTTTTCTGTTTTTTGTGTATTTTACGGAAAACCTGTTTTGGGACAATTAAGATTTGATATTTTAAGCTACATGCTTGATGATTGAAATTTTACATACTAAACGAATGTCTATTTTATCAAATTTTTGGAGGACATAGATAAAAAAAAAAAAAGTTTAAGTTAGTTTTTTTAGCACTAATCTTTTTGTTTTTACTTGTTTTATATAAAAAACGTTCAATTTTATGTCCTCTGTTATGCCCTCTAAATTATTGAAAATTCAACCCTTCATGCCAATGAAAATCAAAAAAATTACTTTCTGTGTTTCTAACTAAAACGTCTTCAACCTCGGCAAATTTTGTTGCTTTTAGCAACAAAATTTGTAGTTAGATGGGTAAAATATTTGTTTATATTTTAAAGCAATGACGTAACTTTAAATGGGTTTCTTCCCACTTCACTGTTTAATAAAATTTATTAAAACAGCTTTTTTAGCGAGACAAATTTTAGTGTATAAATAAAACAAACTTTGGCGGGTTTTTTTTCTCGTTGCTAATCTACAAACATCAGTTAAGTTGTTTAATTCTCTGATATCTATTGATACTTGTTATTTGTCAATAATAATTATTTGATTTTATTTGTTTGTATTATATTTTTATTGAGAAGTTTATTTATCACTATGCATTCTAGTGAAAGTGAGATATTAATACTATACATTGGATTGGAAAATCGCTGGGAAAATAAATGTAATTTTTCTTTTATTAAGCGATTAATGAACGCTGATAAAATCACTAACAACGTGATTTTAATTTTAATTTTTTTTCATCTAAAACGTTGTTTAGTTTTTTAAGTTTTATTATGTCAATTGAGTTTAATTTGCCTATTATTGAAGACTTTAAAAAAATGTACAAAAATTATCAAGACAAAAAAAAGATTGTATAAAAATTTATGAAGCTTCTAAAAACGAAGCATTTAATATGCAACTGTCTCCAGCTTCACAAACAAAAAAAAGAAAATCAGCGGTTGCAGATTATTTTTCAATTTTAAATAGGAATAAGAAACTAAGTAGTCAAGTTGACCAATTAACTTTTAAAGAAGAAACTTATGTGGAGCAAATAGATCAATAAAAAATGCAGGTACCTAAGTTGGAAGCTGAAATTACGGACTTGAATTCTAAAAACAAGGCTTTAAACACACATCGTAACTCATTAAGTTCTCAATTAGAGGCTATGAGTATTAGGCTAAAACAGGAGGAGCAGTTCCAACTTATTTCAAAAAAAAAAAATCAAAATATCACAACGTAAACTTGCATCTGCTCGTGCCAAAAATGTGAGATTGCTAAAAATAATTAAATTTGAAAAAAATAATGGAAAAATTAGTAATATAAACCAGAATAGTTGCCAAATTTGCAAACACTTTTTAAGCTGTGATAAGAATCTAGTTGTTATTGACTCTTATTAAGACTATGACAACATTGGTTCCTCTGAATTGTTTTGTGGATCTAAATTAAGTAATCCACAGACTATATAAGTAAAAAAGCCAATAGTTGGGAAAAAATATACTTATATTAAGTTAGGACATCGTAAATCTTATTCTAAGTTAGGTAGGCATGCTGCAGCTAGACGATCTAAACTTGCTTTTATATTCCTTCAATTATTAGCATGTTCTGATTTAGAATGTAATTTGTCTATGTTGTTTTGTGATCTTATGTCTTGTGAAAAGTCAGTATTTCGTTGTGTTGCGAATAAGTTAGGTTTAGTTACTCAGTTAAGTGTTTCTGATGCAATAGAGCTGCAGAGCCAATTCAGGATGCCAACGGCTGAATTCTGTAGACTAAGACATATTCTGTGTAACCTTGGTACAAGGATTCTCCCATCTGAGCCTAAGAAAAGACAAGAACAAGAAATGCGGACAATGCATGTCAATAAAGAACATGTCACTGTAAAGTCCATGTTACTTTATCCATCTGCGAATGAAGCACCTTGTTTAGTATTTGTACTGATGGTCAAGAATTTGGCAACTTATACTGAAGAGGTCTTTAATAGTCTTCACGTACGCAACCACCTTAGTTCAGATGTTGGTTTTGGCGAAGAGGTATGGCTCCTTTTTGCAGGGGATAATGGTGGAAAGTATATGAAATTCCATTTTGAAGTTGTCAATTCTTAATCGTCAGGGCCTGTATATGATGTTCATTTATTTTGTATGTATTAAGGTTCAGACTGTCGTTAGAATGTTGCCTTAATTCTCGGGCATCATGCCAACGATATTAAAAGAATTTAGTCGATTTTAAGCTAAAAGGCAAAAATAGTCAGGTTGTTCTTAGGTAGAGATTTTCATTTTATCGATGATGTTCTTGGACAACAGGGTTTAGCTGCTAGCTTTCCTAGTTCAACAGATCTAGTTGAATTGAAATATTTTAGAAACCATGCTTCTATGCCTCACGCACCTGCTAATTGTAACATCTTAAGGAGGACAATGCAATTTCTGGAAGGTGCTTACAATAAGAACTTGTGTGAAAATAGGCAAGGTGGAAACTTAAGAGCTCTAGGTAAGTTTCATAAATCAATTATTGCTCCCGTGATATTCACCATAATAACTTTAATGTAGTGCCACCTGTTTTACATATTATGTTAGGAGTTGTGTTAAAACTGTATATGTTATTGTTGAAGGAGTGTAAGACTTTAGATTTTCAAGCTGATTCGTCTTTGTCGCATAATGAGAATGTGAGAACGAATGAATTGGGGGTGCTAAAAGCGTTGAATGTTCTAAAAGAGCAGAAACTTTGCGTGTATTAGGAAATCAATTTGTAGACATAGCAAATCTAAAGGCGCAATGGTTGGCTTTTAATAACAATTTTTTTGAACTCGAAAAAATATCTCTAAACTCCTCAAATATAAAAAAAAACGTGTAAACAGCAAGAAATGTGTGCTATTATCAGGTGTTTAATTACTAAATATGATTGTAACGTTGATTGAATGCAGTGTGTTACGTGCCAAAAATCGTTTCATAAATTTTGTGAAATTATTGGTGATTCAGAAAAGAGTGTT